CAGCCATGGCTGTGGAGCTCCCACCATTAGCAGCCAGGATAGGCTACACACCCTCACTCTCTCCCTGCCACCTCTGTCCCCACCCCACCTCCAAGCCCCTTATGGGTGGTTTCTCATTTCATCTTTGATTTAGGGGTGAGACCGCACTGCACAAGGCTGCCTGCCAGCGGAACCGGGCTGTGTGCCAGCTTCTGGTGGACGCGGGGGCATCTCTGAGAAAGACGGACTCCAAGGTAACTGGATGTGGAGTGCAAACATCCTCCCAGGGGGCGAGAGCACAGGCACGGTCGCCTTCCCTAGTGCCCATAGCACAGGCATCCTTTCTGTGCTTATGGAAGTGCCCAGGGGCTTAGGAAAAAGGAGGAAAAAATAGAGTGTTTCATTTAGAGAAACTGCAATTTAAATGTATAAGCACAAAGAGAGGGTGTGTGCTTGCCTATGGGGCTTTATAAACCTCCAAACATGCTGGCCTGGGGACTTGAAGTGGCCAAATGCCAGCAGCCAAGTCATAGGGAGATGTGGTCCGAAGTCCTAGGAGACAGGTCAGAACCCCGGTCAAAGACATTGACCCAGCCACCAAGAAGCCCCTTTGGGATTTCTGCTCAGTACTTAGTCAAGTATAGTTTAAAAATCTATTATTTATGTGGTGCTATATATGGGTGCAAAAGTGACCTATGGGCTTCTAGGACGATAGACCCTGCCTTTGGGATGGTTACAATCTTAAATCTGGTGCATTGTGTAATCCTACATATTTAAGTTTCTTTCTATTTGTTTTCTTAATTTATTCCCTAAATTTAACTCCAGAAATCAGATGGAGTGGAAATTTGTTATTGGTAGATTCAGGAACTGAAACCTAAAGAACGTTAACTTGGACACGTAGCCAGCCTGAATCTAAATCTAGCTCTTTCCATGTCCAACCTCGTGTTGTTTCAGCAGATCATTTGTACTTTGGTGAGAAACGCCCTTCCGCCCTGTAGGATGACACACCAACAACCAAGTAAAGTATAATCTGATTCGTTGCCGCACGGGGAGACCTGTGGCGCTGTGGCTTGAAATGTAGTCGATTTCTCCACAGCAGAAATTATGTAAGTCTGGATTCAAAATATGTGAATGTTTTAGTATCAAAGTAAAAGGACAGTGAGGCCAGAAATTGGTAGTGTGAAATACACGCCAACCTCAGTAGACATCAGGAGAGTCCAGGAGAACTGAGGTTGGCCTGTAGCGCGAGTTGTTCCAACTTACAGAGAACTCCCAAAGAGAAGGAGTTGGAAGGTGGAACAAAGGAGGAGTCCTAGATGGTTGAGTTGGTGTAGGACTCATCCCATGGAAGGGTGAGGAAGAGAGAGAGAATCTACATGGAAGACCTAGCCCCACAGAGGATCCCAATGAGCTCAGGGAGTTTTGAAGCATCCTGTGTGAACTCCAAGAAAGGGCCAACCATTGAACCATGGAGGGCTGCAGAAAATAAGGTTCTCATACACAGATGAGGCCTTTATTACACAGTTATGGAATAGCCTAAGATTTGGGCCATAACACAGATAAGTGACTTCAAAGCCTACTTAATGACTCAAGTGCCATTAGATTTACTTAAATGTTGAGAATTGCTGGTGTGCAGTTTTCGCCCTGGACCTCCCTCAAACTGTGATGCCAGTTGTAAAGCAGCTTTGCCTCCTGAGTGGCCCTCTTTTTCCTTTCTGAGACATTCTCATTGTGTGGGATTCTCCACCCACCACCATCTTTGCCCTCTGACTGGTTCTCTGGCTGCCTCAGTTTCTCCCTATGCCTATCCAATACACTTGAGCTCTTCTTGTTTTCCAGCTGATCTGTTACTTGTTCAGCTAGCTAGCTAATTGGGTGTGCTATTGCAAATGGCCGGTAATGCTCAATGTGATAGTCCCAGACTATATTTGCACCCAGATGCCTTGAAGTTTCACCTGATTGAGAAACACAAGCCTTGTGGGCAGGATCAGCAGGGGCCGTGTAGTGGGCAGGGTTGGTCTGAAGGGGACATCCAGACCATAGCAGGGCAACTGCCTATTTTTGTTGTTGTTGTTTCTTTGCTTTGTTTTATAGAGGGATTTTTTGGTAACAGGGTGTGTGTGCTTGCCAGAGAGACAGAGACAAAGAGAGAGAAAGTGAGGAATCACCTTCCAGGTCAAATGGCCATGCCACAATCCCTTCTCCTCCATTCTCCTCTCAGGATTCTGGACACACATGCACATGCACCTGGCATGAGTTTCAAGCCACCGGGTCTAGGGCTCAAACCACTGTCTGCCATGTGGAAGTCCAGCTCCTTAACCACTATGCCACCTGCCATATGGGGTGCCAGTGCCTTAACTACTATTCCACCTGCTGGCCCTTGCTTGTTTTTGTTTGTTTGTTTGTTATAAGGCATGTGTGCTCACCAGAAAGAAAGTGAGAAATCCCTCCCCAGGGGGGTGGCCATGCCACAATCCCTTTCCTCCATTCTCCTCTCAGGATCTTGGGCATGCATGCACACACACCCAGTTTGAGTTTAAGCCACCAGGTCCGGGACTCAAACCATGGTTGACTACATGGGAGTCCAGCGACATAGCCATTACGCTAACTGCTGGTCCCACCCTTGCTTGTTTACCGTGCAAAGCCTGGTCTTACACTCAACTCAGATAATTAAGAAGACAAGGAGATACATGAAATGGACCAGCAGACAAACAGAATCAGGAGACCTGATTCTCAAGCAGGTTGCCCTTAATATCTAAGTTTCTGAACCAGATAAATGAATTCGGTGTTCTTTGGGATTTCATCCTATTTTATTTTACATGTGTGTGTGCTTTTTAAAAAATGCAAATAATTGGGACCAGTAGATGGAGTAATGGTTATGTCACTGGACTCCCACATAGTTGATCAAGTCCCAGACCCATGGGCTTGAAACTCATACTGGGCACGTGTTCATGCATGCCCAAAATGCTGAGAAGGGACTGGAGGAGAAGGAACTGTGGTATGGCCATCCCCCACCCGGGGGGGGGGGATTTCTCGCTTTCTATCTTTTTGTTTCTTCCAGTGAGCACACACATCCTATAGCAAAAATCTTTCTCTCCCAAAAAAAAAAAAAAAAAAGAAAAAAGAAAATCCACATAACTTTATTATTTTTTTAATTATAAATATAGTACATTCCCATACAGAAAACTAGAAATGTAGAGAAACATTCATAAAAAAGCAAATATCAATGGGAATCTCACAACCTACACCTAAATGCTACTTAACATTTGTTTGATATTCTCTCTTTACATGTAAGTATAATTGTTTTTCTCTCTCATTTTTCTTTAATTTGGTGAAGCCATAGTTTACTTGGTATTATATGACTTCAGTTTTCACTCTACATTATGTTCTAGAGATCTTACATATGAAATAATACAAGTACCCTTCATTCCATTTTAGAGATCCTTTAATTCTACCGTTCTGTAATTTGTTGCTTGGTTAAAGTTGAATATTATTCATTATAACTGGATCTCCTCCTAGAATTTTTTGGATAGAAGCAATATCCTGAGACTCTAATGTTAGAGAGTGGTTTCTTGAAAATCAACTCAGAGGCAGACCTCAGTCTACCACTCTGAATATCTGGAAGCTAGGAATTCCAACCTCATTGTTACTGAAGTGAAGAGAAGGTAATCTATCAAGACTGTAAGCAAGTTGAATAAAAAGTTCCCTAGGAACTTTAAAGTGGTAGTTAATTGTTAAATTCCAAATGCATAAAAAAGCTTTGAGAAAGTCCAGAGGTATTGTTACTTTCCTTTTATCCTCTGTGCCGCATTCCCTAATAGGTTATTTGGAGCATGTGGAATTGTGGTCAGCATTATCCACTGAGATAATTGATATGGAGGCTGAGAAATCTTGAATAATTTCTGCAAAACTTATGTGCATTTGTACATGAAGCTATTTCTTTGGCACAATGATCATTCCTCTACCCTTTCCTTAGAACTTAATATAATTTTTAGAATAGATACAACTATGTCATTGAACAAAAATGAGAAGTTTCAAGGAACAGTAAGTAATATCTCCAAACATTCAACAGGATAGACTCCTTCCTTTCTTAATCAATTTCTATTCCATTGCCTCATTTAAAAACAATGTCAGATGAAAGAGGGACCAGCAGGTGGCATGGTGGTTGAGGGTCTGGATTTTCACATGGCCAACCACAGTCTGAGTCCCAGATCTGGTGACTTATTTCCTCACTCTTTATTACTTAAATATATTTAAATAAATATATTTATTTAATTTTATGTATTTTAAAAAATTTTTCTGTAGGGCACATGTATTCACTAGAGAGAGAGAGAGAGAGAGAGAGAGAGAGAGAGAGAAAGAGAAAGAGAAAAGAGGAAAGAGGAAAGAGGAAAGAGGAAAGAGGAAAGAGGAAAGAGGAAAGAGGAAAGAGGAAAGAGGAAAGAGAAAGAGAAAGAGGAAGCAAGCCACCAGGTCTGGAACTTGGACCTCAGTTGGCCATGTGGGGGTTGAGCACCTTAACCACCATGCCACCTGCCGGCCCCAAATAATCCTTAAAAACAATTTAAAAAATTAGATAGGTATACAAATACACGTGTGTGTATATATACAGATAACAAAATAGGGTAGGCTGTGTGAAATTCCATGATCATTTAAGATGTTGATGGATAAGATTTAATACCAAAAATTAAATAAAATGAAAAAAGGTTAACAGTATTTTTATAGCAATATATAGAGAAATACAGAAAAGAATGAAACTAGTTACTCGATGGGAGCTTAACAGTGGTTGTCTTTGTGAGATGATTGGTGATTTTTATTTTTTGTGCTTTTCTAGTTTCCCAAGATTTTTTTAAATCAATACCTGTTATGTTTGTATTCAGAAATTCATTCATTTTTGGAAAGATGAGACTTTTATAAATCAGGGATAACTTGACCCAAGTCCTTGAAACTAGCAAACAAACAAACAAACCAAAACCCTTCCAGATTATGACTTATCCCCCTTTTTCAGTTTCTAATTGTCGCATCCCAGAGTATTAGAAAGAATCCTAAACTAGAAATCGAAATGCCTGCTTCTTTCTACTTTTATTCAGGATTTCTATCTTCTCTTCTTCCAAAAGGATTCAGGTTCAAAACTCCCTGAACTACCCTGTTCTCCCTTGTACAATCGGTTAGACTCTGAATTTCAAGTTCCTTAGATGTAAACCTCACCTGCCAAAGTGATAAACTCTTTCTCTCTAACTTAACCAACCTGATGTGTTCAACCTAGCTCATTTAACATAGATGATTTAAAAGTGTTTGGGTAACTTTAAAACATCAAACATGAAAGGATCCTTACTAGTGAGAAATTTTTGGATAGCTGTTTCTGTAATTTTGTTCTCATTCAAAGTGTTTGTGTTTATTCTTTTATCCTGTGACTTGTAGGGTAACACACCTCAAGACAGAGCACAGCAGGCTGGGGACCCAGATTTGGCTGCTTACCTAGAAAGCCGTCAGAACTATAAGATCATTGGTCATGAGGACCTGGAAACTGCTGTTTGACCCTGGTAGACAGGCCAAGGGAACGTGAGTGAGCATATCACCTGTGCCCACCTGGTGATCGGGCAGCTCCCTGGAAGAAGATGATGGAATCCGTCTATCTGTCTCTCTCCTACAAGAATCTATCTGAGACCATGCCACCAGTTTTTAAGGGCTACCAAGATGTACAATGAAACATGATAGCCCATTAAGAAGGAGGCAGGATACCTGGAGATCTGTGGATTATGAGTTGCACAAAATTTGATCCTTATTGCTTCCAGCAAGTAGCATGAACTTCTGTGTTCACCTGTATCATTTATTTTAAAGATTCAAGGATGTCCATATACATGGCACTGCCCACGCTCTCCTACTCATTCATCTTTCCCCCTATACCACACAGAGCTCCTGTAACTATCCATCAACTAAAAATATATATAGCATCTCTACTCTTTACATTCAGTCTTTGAAGACCACCAGATTGTCTGAAAGTCTATTAAAACCCTCTGGATGTCCCACAGAAGCATAACTGCAAAACCACTTCCATTTCCAAGACTAAATATACCGAGACTCCTTAGTGACTCTGCATGCCCCACACCCCTCCTGTTTCACAATATGGGAGCTGGGAAGTGCCACATGGATAATGTCAACTTGTGTGCTGTATCTCTGCGGTATGGTGAGGTGGCATGGGGGCTGTCTGTGCTCGGAGGTACCTCAAAAAAGTAGCCAGGGGTCAGCCCTGTCTGCTGGGCTGCTCCTGAGAGCCATGCAGGACTGGTTCAGCTTGGGCTGTTTGTGCAGCTCTGTACTGCCTATGTGTAGCCTCTTTGCCTTTCGCTGCAATACAGATGAGCAAAGGAATAAACAAAGGCCCATAGCTAGTTTGCAGACCATTCAATTTTAAGTGCTGTTTAAATTGCAGAGCAGAAAACCATGTGTGGGAACTGTGGTTACCGGAAATGGAGCCCTCTGACAACATTTACTTCTAAACTTTGTGGAGTGATAATAGAAAGCAGCCTAATTGACTTGAAAAAAAAAAAAAGATGAAAAACAAAAACTGGCAATGCAAAAATAACAACATATGTCAAGATAACATACGTAAGCAAGAAAGCAGTCATTGAAATGTTGCCCAGAGGCCAATAACTGTAGATTCCTGATACAATGGAGACAGGGCCCATTTTAGTATTTCTTCTAGGTTTTTGGCTCTCATTATTCCAAGTAAGCCTTGACACAAGGACAAAGCCTTGTATAATGAGTTCCACTGCCAGTTTTCCGAGATGCCTGGATCTTTCTGATGGACGCTTCATCTATTAACTGTCAGGTCCCAAGGTCATGCCTGACAAGTCCATTTTTCACGGATAGGGTAGTTTAATATATTCTTTTTCTACTTTATTCTCCCTTATCATAAAGTTCTTAGTAAAAACTAATATGGCCATCTAGCCAGAAACATCTGTCTGGCAGTGGAAGCGCATTATGTAATCTTGCTGTGGACAAGATGGTACTTATAGGTGCCCTTATTAGGGAATCTGTGATAAACGAAAATATCAGGCGAAAACGTTTTCATAATTTCTGTTCAAGTCTCTATTTGACTTGCTTCTGGGTGAAAACTAAAAGTGGATGTCCAAGGGTTTTGCTTCTGGCTAAATCTGATGTCTCCTGAGCTTCCTTCTGTATTGCCGTTGGACACAGTAAAGTGCTTCCCAGGAGTTTCTGCACATGACCATAAACGACCGTTTCTCTCCATTTAATTTAAAGGTCTGGTGGTAACACGTCACTTACCTGAATCACACTGGTCACGTATCATTTGGAAAGGATGGATATGATACACTATATTAAGTAGGGACAGCCTTTCAGTGGATGGGGATTTTATTACCACAGTCTCTCCATGGTCATTTCAAAATCAAATTGCTGGCCTTATTTCTAGCTGTGGGAGAAAGGGTTGGTTGTAAGTAATTTATTTCCATATATCAGTCTCAGAAATGGAACTATCTTTTGGATTTTACAGTAAATGGAGTAGGGGCCATGGTAGATTGTTTCCAGAAGCTGGAAAAAAATATGCTCCAGGAGAATTTAATTGCTGGGCTTATGCTGGGAGCTGTTCAGCTGGTGAGACTGTCAAGAAATGTTGTGATGACAGAAATATAATATAATCCTCAAAACAGACTGGAATCTGGCTTTGAATGGTGCCTTCCATTCCCTGGATTGGACAGAAATTTGGCTAAGCAGTCAGTTACCCAACTGCCACTGCTGAGATGAAGAACTCAATTTTCATCAACTCCCATCTCACATTTCTCTGTGACTGCTTCAAAGCAGGAAATTTAGAGTACAGGTGGCTATGGGCCAATTCAAATAGCTCCAATTAAAGACACAAATAAATCCCTGGTTGGAAAATACATGAGGCGCTGACTACTGTAAGGATCTTGGTACATTTGGAAATTATTCCAAACCAAGAAAATATATATGTAAGTATTAGAGTCCGATGTTATTGATGGGGAGTGATATATGATATATCTCTTTGAAAAAGCATATGCCTCTAGCACTTGAGCTTTCAAAAAAAAAAATGTGCAGAGCAGCCACATATTTAATGCTTCAACATTAAATCTACCTCCTGTAGTTTTTTTCTTTTTATATTGGTCACTGCATACGACAGTCCTGGACTTTAGAAAGAGCTAAGGCCATATGGCTCAGGAATTTCCATCTCCCCTTTAATGAGCCATCAGGAAGAAGCAAATGATCTGGCCCTGGTTTCAAAACCCGCATAACCTTAGCAGACATAAAGATGTGTACCTACAGAAATGTCATTTCTACAAAGCCTGTGAGAGAGTTCTGTGAGGAGCAGCTGACTGGGCTGCACTCCTTTGTATTTGGCCCTTCCTGTTGTGGCACTGTCTGCTCTGGGATTCCATTTTTAGATTAAGTGGATAAAGGGGGATGAAAAATGAAGAGTTATTAAAAGACAACATTCTGTAGCCTTAAAGGTAGTCATTTTTGCAACCTTCTATTCTAGTATTTCACATTTACTGAAACAGAACACAGTTAGGCTGTGCTTTATCACATCTGAGGACTTGATAAAGAACAGAAGAGAGGATTAGTAGTGAATAAAGAAGAAAATAAACACTGTGATTGGGACTTTTGCTTTGAGCGTGCTTGTTACCTAGATAGAGGTGATAACTGCAAACCAGTCTAAGTTCTGAAATAGAATTTAGCTGGCAAATACAGCTGTGAAATTAGTATCGGCTGGGGGAAAGCCTCCGAAAGGCCATAGCCCTTTATCCTGCCAAAGTGGCCACCTAGACAGAACGGTTTGTGCTAGGGATGGATAGGCAGTTCGTTTTTATTTGAACCTTGAAACAATCTCTCTGCCCAAGGGAATTTTGTAATTCGTTTACTATTGGTTCATCAGAAAAGTCATGACGGGTTTTTTTTCTGTTTTTCTGTGCAAAAATGCGTCATGGTTTTTCTGACAACCCAATAGAACCCTTGTGATAGTCATGTCTTGGAAAGTGTAGGACAGCAGTTTCACTTTATTACATGTCAATATTTAGGTTTTTCAGTTTTAAAAGTAGCACATGCTTTTTCAAAGAAAGTTCTAACACCACAAATGAGTATCATACTCAAAGCCAAGGCCTTGCTCTGTGCTGGAGTTCTGTCCCAGGTCCTGGAGGTGAGCACTGTTAACATTGATGAGCATCCTTGTTTGTATGTGAACTCAGAAATACTTCATTCATGAACAGACCTATATGTAAATATGGTATATGCATACACATTCACACCCTCATACATAAAGATATTTATTTATTTGTATACATATATGCGTATACATATTATACACATATATTGAATAGTTTTAAAAAACGAAACATGTTTAAAGCATGCTAACCATCTGTATATGTGTAGTTAACACCAACAGGCAAGGATAGATTAGGTAACAGAATTTTATTTATTTTTTATTTCACTGTTACAGAACTTAGTTCTCTCATAATATCACCATGCTTGCACATGGCATTTGCTATTGTCTGTGTCCCAAAATCCATGATCGATAGTTCATATCATTGTTTGTTGTTGTTGTTGTTGTTGTTTGTTTGTTTTTTGGCTTCTACGAGACATGAAACCTGCCTTAGCCCCAAGACTCTTCTATGCTATCTTTGGATCTCAAATAAAGAAGAGTTCTTTCTTCTGTGATGCTTACACCATTTTACAAGGCACAGTTTACAAGACTGACACTCAGTAGGTTGTCTAATGTTATTTAATTAGGGCAAGGGACTGCCAGGAAGGTGTAATAACTTAGATCTGGTCTGGGGTCTGAGCAGCTTGGCTTCCTTCCAGTGAAAGCTAATGAAATCACTGGGAATAGCATGATATTATGTTCAAGTATGCTATTTAAAAATAAAAATAGATTGTTGTTAAAATGACTTATTGTCAAATAAAACTACTAATTGCTGTACTTAAATGAATTATGCTCATTTTAGGAAAAAAGTAGAAGAACATCTATCAAATCTTTCTCATTGATTTTTAATATTTATAATAGCATAAAATAGCTTCTCCCCACATCTTAGTAGAATCGCCTTTGGATCTCCCAGCTGTTCTCATTTGAATTCCATACTCAGCTGATGAAAAGTGCTGTAGGTTCTCTGCCAAGCTTCTCAGACTGACCTTTTCTGTATCCCAGTCATGTCCTTCTGATTTTCTGGTCCCTGCAGCAGTCCTTCTTGTGAACTATCTGCCTTGACCATCAATAATTTGTCATACAGTTGCCAGAATCTCCAGATACTACACTCAAAATTACCCTTTGAGGCAAGTATCCTAAAGGACAAATGGGTGTCCACTGACCTTAATCACCTTACAGAATTATGACAATCCTGATCTTGAGAAGTGATCTACCAGGCTTAGTCAAGTTCTTTCTTAGTCACATGAGAGCCCACAATCATGGCTCCTGCTCCTACCACCAATGATGTGGTTAACACGCCCTCGGACATCATCTGGAGGATCGAATTATACCTGTGTCATACTGAGGGGCAGCTGTGGATCTTAAGCTGTCCTCCCACAGTTTAATGAGGATAGTAAAAATAAGTAAGCAAGAAACAGTGCTCCTGGACAACCCACTCTCCTGGGACACAGAGATTCACTCAATTGGGCCGGAAAAGAATGCAGGAAAAAAAATAACTCTTGATCTGTTGAAGCATAGATTTTGAAGTAGAAGTTTAAATATTGGATGCCATGTTCATGATGGATAGGTTCCAGAGTATATGTGTATCCATATGCATGCAATCATATGTTTATGAATCAATCACACATCTATGTATTTAATAATTTATTTGAAAAATCTGTGTCGCTTACTCTAATGCAGTCACCATATAAGGCTATAACAATGAACGTACTAGATACTCCTGACTCTATGGAGCTGGACATCTAGGAGAAAAGGCCAATTCCAACGTGATAAATTCTGTGCAGGCAAACCCACAGAACCCTTGCACTCACAGAAGGTTCCATCAAGGCTTTATGGTAGCAATCATTCAGTAGCCAGTAATGTTTTAGTTCTAACAAGCATTCACTAGGAAAGAAAGAATGATACGTTGCACTTCTATTTTCTTGGAGTCTTGATAGTGTTTGTACAAAATGTATTTGAAACAAAGACTTAAAGGCAAGACTTAGAAACGCTATGAAAATGAAGGCTGAGATTCATTTGTCCTAGCTCTCAAGGACAGGACTAGGAACACAAGCAGAATTTGCCATGGATTTAACTACATATAAAGAACATGAAGTACAATATTGTTGAATAGTGAAGTGGACATCCTTATGGAATAATAAAACTTTTAGCCCCTAGGAGCTGACTACCTTGAGAGGTGTTGTGATTAGGAAAATATGATCTTAGGAGGCTGGAATTAGATTCAGTGATTTTTTTTTTCCCTATTTTTTCCCCCAAAATGGGTTTGTTAAATGGCAGGATTTTATTTTTAAAATTCATTAAAAATCTTGCTTTTTAATGTTTAAAACATCGCTTTAGTGAAGGTGAGATGCTTTAAAATTTAGGGGGAAATGGCCTTTAGATATTTTAAAATTTAAAATCATCTTAGTATGAATTTAAGAGCTAGTGAAAAGAAAACCTGATAGGAGGTGTAACTTCATTCTGAATACTTCCTGAAGCATTATGGATTATGTTGAATATCCTTAGGCCTTCTCAAATACAGTGCTATTAGAAATCTGGGGGCCAGTAGATGGCATAGCTGGACTCCCACCCACATGGCCAACCACGGTTTGAGTCCTGGACCCAGTGGCTTGAAAATCACACTAGGCACATGTGTGTGTGTGCCCAAGATCCCAGGAGGAGAATGGAGGAGAAGGGATTGCAGCATGGCCATCCCCCTAGGGGGTGATTTCTCAAATTCCATCTCACTGTCTTTTTCTCTCTCTTAGAGTGCACATGTGCTCTAAGGCAAAATCCTCTTAAAAACAAAAACAAAAAAAATCTGTTTTACTGCCCAATATTCTCAAAAGTGCTGTGATTTGACATTCTTAGGCTTAAGTGTAATCTAATATAACCACAGAAAAAAATATATCTGCCTAAAAGATACTTGGGAGCCAAGTAAATAAAAGGCAATCATGGAAAATGGATTGGCTTCTGCTACCAGCATGGTAATTATAAGAGGACCTACCCACAGAAATAAAAAAAATGGTCATCTAGTTTTCCCCTCAGCTTCCAACGTTTCAATATTTTGAGCCAACTGGCATCCAAAGTGGTAGTGGAAGCAACTATAACCATCTTGTTTCTTAACTCGTTAGTAAAACACACAAATAGCTTTTATTAGAAAATAGCTTACATGATTACCGAAATTTTCATTATAAAATGGCTCACATAGTAACTTAAATAACAATGTAAATGATTTTTTTAAATGTTAGTGCTTTAGCATTTTGATGCATTTTGAACACGTCTGAGTTTCAATACAACCCTGTGAAGTGGATAATGAAAACAATATATTTAGGTGAATAAACAGAATCTTAAGCAGTGACTTCAACTTGCACAGTGAATGAAAGAAACACATCTAGATCTGAGGTCTTAGAGTGACATTTCTACAATAGACGTTTCCAAGTAAATAATTTTCCGCCATTGCCTTCAATGATGTTTTACATCAGTTTTCAGACTTCCATAAAATAGAAGGTGCAGCTATAAAAAAACATTGATCTGAGATCGCATAATAAAGTTTGGTTAGAGCTGCAGGAGACTGTGAAATCAAAAACTTGAAGTTTTTGTAGTCAACTTGGACATACATACTTCAAGGGGAATAAAAGTCGAATGTTTGGAGACGGGTATATGGTATAAGAATAGATGAACACTGAGGGTTAAGGGCTTCTCTCTCTTTTTTTTTTTTTTGGTGATTCTCAGCATTTAAAAAATGTGAGTCCTGTTTTCCATCTTTGGAAATCACTGTTGGAATGATGTTATTTCTGAATGCTGTACCCAAAAGTGTTGACCTTGACCCTGCCATT